TTTTAAGTAACGTTTTATGGACCGATGAGTCATGCTTCACTGGAGTGGTTTCATAATCAACATATTTGGTCGCATGAAAATCCGCATGCAGTTCGGGAAAGAAATTTTCAGCATGAATTTAGTGTGAACGTGTGGATTGGTATCTACCGTACTCGACTATTTGGACCCTACCTTTTGCCTGCAAGGTTAAATGCTCCGACCTTCTTGGAATTTTTAAAGGCTGAACATGCAAATATGTGGGATGATGTTATGTTAGATTTAAGATGATTGGCCTGGTTCCAGCTTGATGGTTGTCCAGCTCATTATTCGAGAATAGTTAGAAACTGGCTGGACGAAAATTATCCAGAAAGATGGATCAGCCGTGGAGGACCAGTCGCCTAGCCTCCACGATCCCCTGACCTAAATCCATTAGATTTCTTTGTGTGGGGATTTCTAAAAGAAAAAGTGTCCCAGACTCCCGTAACCACAAGATATGCTAATAGACAGAATCAGGAATGCATGTGATGAAATAAGGCCTTATTTTCGATCATTCGTAGATCGGAATTGTGTATTGAACAATTGGGTTTACATTTCGAGCAACTACTTTAGATTTTGTATGTTTGTCCTAACTATCCAATAGCATTTTAGTTGTAAATAATTAATTTAATTTGTTAAAAATAATATTGGAAAATTAAACAAATTAATATTCTGGTTTTTTGTGTTTATTTGGAGTTAGGAATTATTGCTGTATTTAAAAACACAATCTAAGCGATCATCTTAATTACTTGTAATGTCCACATCGAAAATGTAAAAAAAATATTATTTTCCCATAAATAATTAAAAATGCATCGAACCTTAAAAATCGAAATATATCAAAAACGGCTAACTATAACGAAAACTCACAGGAGAGCTTTTTTATATTGAAAAGTGCGAAGAATCAGTTTTTTTATTCAAAAGGCAAAAAATTGCACTAATAAAAATTTTTCGGTCATTTTAATACACTACAGGTACAGTAGAGAGCGCGCTCTAGCGGCTACAGTAAAACTATGTCCATCGTTCGTTTTTTCGTACCAAGAAACCCTTGTACACCAATTTTCACTGTTATACATCAAATATTGTTCAAAATATTTAAAAAAAAAACTATTTTAGAAAGTAAATTTAAACACCCTGTATTTCGGAAGCCACGCATTTTTCGACCCATGTTTATATAGACTTTATGCATTAATTTTAAAAGTTCTGTCGAGTCTTAAAGTTATGCAACAATAAACTGAAACACCCTGTATAAAAGGTTTCTAAGTAGATTTTGTGAGATCCTGATGTTTTTTAATTTCATAAACAGAAATATGACGAAACTCCATGGTTTCTACTGCCAGTGAAGTGATGCTTCATAGGGATGATCTGCACAAGCGATCAAAAATCCAAGAAAACTCCAATGCGAGATTCGAACGTAATTTTGTTGCCCCGCAGGCATCACTATCAAGATCAGTATTACTTTTCGAATAAAGTGCTAGAATACTACAGAATCTGTAGATTCATCAACTTTGTAGGCAAGATCTTTATACAGGGTGATCCACAAGTCGTAATTAATTTTGTTTTTTAATTGAGTGCATTGTTTTCGTAAGAATAAAAAAAACCAATTAGATTATCAAAGCAATAAATGTACAAAAAAGACTATCATTATGACGGCATCTTTTTAATAAAGAAAACCGTATTTCCGCAAAATTTGCTAGGGCTTGAATTAGATGAAACGCATTATCTATTCTTTCTTGTAACTGATCAACAGTATCAATTTGTTCAGCATACATTAGTTGTTTCTGCCAATCCATCGTTGTCTAAAATAATTATTTAACCACGCGGTTGCTGATACCACACTTGTACTCTCGTTGCAACACACTTTCTAAATAATTTTCTAGAAAAGTTGACTATGAGTTTGCATTTAAACGTTGTGACAATACGTGCATAAGCAGTTGGCAATTGAAAATGATGCACCAGACATTTCTACGAAATCTTTGTTAAAACGAGTGGATTCTTACAGAACGCGGATTTTCTAACAAACCAAATATGTTTATTATGAGAATTAAAGGTTCCACTCCTCGTAAAAAGCGATTCATCGGAACCCAAAACCAGATCAATAAAATCTGCATTTTGATTATGCATTTGCTGTGACCACTCATAAAAATTTCGCCCTTGCACTTCGTCGCCGTGTAGCAGGTATTGCACATTTTGGCGCTGGTAAGGATGTAAAACTTCCCGACTTAAAATTATCCACGCAAGACCTTGGGAACACGGTAACTGGGCTGCAAATCCGCCTAGTACTTGTACTGGGATCATCCAACGCCAAATTAATTACTTCCAGTTCCTCTTGAACAGTATGCCGGACACCATGGCATCTAGCTGCGGGAAGCTTGGCAATTCCATATTGCCGAAGTTTTAGATTTTAACGCGTGAATACCTTTGGGGTAGAAGTTGGCGTCTGTTAGTGAATCTACGTTGATACACCCGAGAAGCCGGTAAAGCATTTCCATTACAGAACCCGTACACAAAAATAATATGGGCGTACTCATCATTGCTAAATTCCATTTCGCAACACTCAAGAATTAAAAAAAGAAACGTTCGATTTGACTTTTACAAAAAAAATGGTAGTAGTAACAGCAACAACCGTATAACTCAACTATCTCCCAAGAAATGACAAGTTGGTATCAACGCCTCCTATTTTTTTTATCTCGACTCTTCATGAATGATCTGATTTATTTTATTTTTATTTTTACGAAAACAAGTCACTCTAGGAAAAAACACGGGAGTGATTATTTGTAGCAAATTGAAGATGAAATTCGAAAAATTGCGCGTTTAAAAAAACAGTGGCGTACTATTTTTATTTGGAAAAATAATGCTACTAATCCCCTGTATCTACGCCACTGGTGCACGTGAATTTTAAGTAAACACTTTTGAATGTGGACAATACTTAGGTAAATCTACTTACCAAATTTCAGTTCATTCCAGTTGAAGGTTTTTTTTTATTTTCAAACTTTAACACCCCTTATCTTTTTAATGAAGCACTCGAGGAAAAAATGTTACATAGAAGACTCCCCTTAAAATGTGGTCCTGTGTATGATGTTTCATTTTTGGACACGACTTGTGAATCACCCTGTATAAAATAATGTGAGAAGCAAAATTTCTAAAATTATGGGGTAGCTTCCATCCAGTTGATGCCTATGGAAATTGGAATACTAAGAAAAAAAATCTTGAGTTTCGTAGGAACTACCCTAAGAGCAAAGCGGTCTCTCGGCTCTGTCGATATTTCGTGGATATTTCTATAATGGCAAGTTTTACCACAATATTTTAAGGTCCTGATTTTTGCAATTACATAACATCCATCCAGTCTTACCCCTGTGGGCATAGGAACTAGGCAATAAAGGGTGTTTCAATAAGGACGCAATATTTTAAGGTTCTATTAAACATGGTATTTCGTAACAAACAACTGAAATATTTATTGGATTATGTACGAAACAACACATCAGGTAAATGGCTAATCATTGCATGATAACGTTCGCCATTCACTGTTAGAGGATTACCCGCCTCGTCCTCCAAGGAAAACGGTCCAATTCCTCCAGATCTTAGTGCACACCAAACAGTGGCACGTTTTTGATGCATAGCTTGCTCATGAATTATTCTTGGAGTCTCTGTGTCCCAATTGTGGCAGTTTTGTCTATTGACGGAACCATCGAGATGAAAATGGGCCTCATCGCTAAAAATGATTTTGTCTACAAAATCACCATTGACATGTGCATGGTCTGTTGGCATAAGCGGTTGAGTCAATTGGACTTTGTAGGCATGCATGTGTAAATCTTTCGTTAGAATACGCTGGAGTGTGGCTGTTTTAATGTCCAATTCTTGAGCGCGATCACGAATCGACGTCCCTGGACTCTCGGCTACTTTTTCGCGAACTGCTGCAATACGACCGCTGCGAACTCGTCTCGTACATTTCACATCATTAACAGAACTAGTACTTTCAAATTTTTGGATTATTCTTTTCACAGTGGATGGGGTAGGAACATTATTCCGACCAAATATTAGCTGCATTTTTCGAATCGTTGCAATTAAACTTTCATCACTTTGGCAATAATTTTTAACAATTAGGATACGCTGTTCTATTGTGTAACGATTCATTTTCATAAACTCCCGCCTGTCTACTATCGATCTGTCATGTCACAATCATTATGACGGTATGACTGCTAAAATGTCGCTAAATTCAAATATTGCGTTCTCATTGATACACCCTTTAGAAGTCTTTTGCTTGGTTTTCTTTTTCTTTCTTTTTCCAAACCGATCCGTGCTTGGACTAGCTTATCGCCAGTTTTGATTTTTAGATGCACTTCTCCAAACCAAGTTTTATATTTACATCACTTACTCTAACACCGTCTTGCATGTGATTAGCAATGTCTGTTTATCTGAGCTGCAGCACTAGTTTCTTTTGCTTGCAAACATCCTCACAAATCCATCACAGGGATCAATACACAACAATTGTACCATTTACGTCTTAATACAATATTAGTCCAGTCCAGGATTTTTCATTTACCACTTAATCTCTGTAAAATATTAACATATAAGTAGGCTAAGATTTTTGAGAATTCAAATCAAAATCCAAAGTCCTGAAAGTGAACATTCGAAATCTGATGCAAATTTCATAGGATGATAAATGATTATAAAGCATGAAATCTATAAAGCTGTTTCCGAACGCTTATACTCAGACACCACTAATGGATTTCAGTAATTTCTCACATAGATGTCGTGAGTTGGGCAACACCTGTATGGTTTCCCTTAAATGCAAGCATACTATTTATCTTTTGACTTTAATCATAATTGCTCCGTATGTATTACGATAAAGAACAAACAGTATCAGTAGAATTTTGGACCAGCGCTACCTTATTCGAACATCCAAGGTCGTATACCTAACTGGATTTGAATTTCGCGGAACGGGATCGTGCATACTAGTAGCTGATTGAGTTTCATATACTTCTTACCCATATTTGTAGTTTGACTCTTTTGTCGTGTCTGAAGACTGTTTTAACCTTGAAATCTATGCCTACGGTGCTAACGAACGCAGACGTGAAGCTGTCATCTGCATATCGGAAGAGGAACGAGGTCTTGCCTACGGAACTGTTGCCTATGATGAGCAGTTTGAACATGTAATCGAAGTTCTGATCTGCCGCGTCCTTCTGCCATTTTGGATCAGCTCCTGCCATCTGGAAATAGCAAATAACATTTTCAAATTCAACAACTGAAGCAGAGGATAAAAGAGGTTCCGTGTTCATGGGCTTGCAACAATAGTAATTTGTTAAAACTGGTAGGGGCGACTAGGGCAAAGTGAACACGTTCTGCTATTCGAACAAGAATGTTGTGAATACAGAACTGAGGAAGACGTTTATATTAATTGAGTGTTTTTCTGTCTTCTGCTGTAGCAATTAGTCATAGACCACAAACAAAACGATGCAAATTATCCACTCTGCCCAAGTTCACGGGTAAAGCGGAGAGAGACATTATACAGAGAGGATACATATTACAAATTATTTTGACTTTAATTTGATAATACAGTGGAAAATAACCATTAATTCCCTCAAATTTTGAGTATCTATGACCGATAGCATAACATTTGCAGCAGCTGCTTTTACTGAACGGCAGATTGGTATAAGTTAGTCCAAGTTTTATCGGTTTTTTAGATCACCCTCGGTTTAATTTATTTTTCTATTATAACATCTGCGGCGTAAACATATGTAACAATAAAAGTAAGAGTGCGGATATAGCGTATTCGCTTTGCGCTTATGCGCTTTGCTTTTCAGTCAACACTATTGTACCAATCTATTTAATCTGCAAAACTTTGGAAGACCGTTAAACATATGTTGGGAATCTTAAGAAGTTGATCATGGAAACTGTATAATATAAAATCATTGTAACGCCGTACACTCGTACATCTGGGTCCTTAGGCGTGAGGCGTCATCGCGATGTCGACACCAGATAACCAGCAATACACCATCATGTATCGCAGCATGCGAAGCTGCGAGAGCGATTGGGTTCACAAGCGTAAGCGGCTCCGGCCCCTTATATAGTGAATCCAGTTTTTGCTAGAAAATGCTGGAGAGCATCGGGAACCGTCAATGCACCACATAAATGCCTGGACAGATGGCGGAAGCAGTGAGTCACAGCCGAGACAGTCCAAGAATGTAGAATTCCGTAGTCCGGTCAACATGCTTATAGATGATAATGATAATGAAGTGTTATAAATTATAGAAAATAAATTGAACTTTGGTCAGCAAATAATGGTGTTTCCATTACAACATTTTAGTCAGACTTTTTTTAGAACTCGCGAACTTTAAGACATGGACGAAAATGTGTCAATGTGATGATGTCAGCGTATGTTACGTATCTTGAAAAGTGAAGTTATGCCGATTTTGTCTGACACTATGCTGATTTTTTTTTGACATTATGTAGGTTATTCTACAAGATGTTAACTTAGCACTTAGTTGTACGTGTTGCCTAAACGTCATGAGGCTTGTTATCAGTCTTTGGCTTTGATGTGATGTAAAATCTACCTCTGAGGTGGCATTACTGGAGGTCTAAGCTGTAAGTTGCATGTATTGATGATAATTACATTGGGTTCTAGTCTCAAATACACTTAATTGAGATTCAAAGCTAGAAATTAGTTGCGCATCCATTCTGAAAATTACATATACAAATTTGCTGAATTTCAAAAATGAGAGAGATAAGAAATAATTATATTCACTGTACACTGTCGAATTACAAGCCATATACATGTTAACAGTAATTACACACAACGCGGGCGCGGTGATGATTTCCCGTAATTCTCCTCAGTTTTTTTATAATTTATAACTTGAACATAACCTCTCTTCAGAAAGCACAACATATAATAACACGTCATATTCGGCATATGCAGTAATGATTTTCTCACACAGCAAATATCACTGATTTTATATTCATGCAGACCAATACCACATAATCATACAGATGTCCTCAAGGGCCTGAAAACATGAAACACCTTTACTTATTTTCACTAATATTTTTTTGTTAATACAGAATGCTTAAGGTAGCTCCGAAGATTCAGGAAAGATATCTGCGACGAACTACAACTTGCATTTTTATTAATTTCTCGCATAAAGCACTAACTACTTCAAGTCAGAATTACTTCCAAATCAACGTGTGTTTTGGCGTTTTCGTCACCACAGATATTAGTACTTCTCAAATGTTTGTCAAAAAATTGCCAAGTTTATCCTTGGCCATAAAAATTATCCCTACAAAACCTACGGGATGATTCATAAAGTCGTGGCAATACTTATGCGGTAAAAAGTAGGTCCACGAATAACATGAAATGTTGTGACAAACGTGGGTCCTGAGATGCAGGATATGCAGTGTGTTGAAATTTTTATTTCGACGTCGAAAAAAATATCTTCGGAATGTTTTAATATATTGACCTGAAATTTCCGACATACAAACATGTTCGCGATTAATTATACACCACTGGAGTACAAACTGGGAATTTTTACCCCTACAGAAGGAAAAAATGAATTATTTTATAGGCTGCTGACTTTTTTGAAACATCTATTGGATTTTTGTTTTTTTTACATGATTCCGCTTTTTGCCACAATATTTAAGTAGAAAAGTTTGTTATACTATACATTATGCAATCCAATCTTACTGTAGTGTTGTCCTTATTCAGCCTCATCAGCGGTGTACCTATAAATCTACGACACTTGTACCTTGGTAATGGACCTATGTTTATAGAAGCTTTTTTTTATTAATTTTGGATACACTGTCTACTCTAAATAAATAAGGCCACGTTTTTCTGAGTCACCCAGTAGGACGATGGATTCTTCTGATGCTCAAAACTATAGCAAAAAATGCATCTTATGAAGGTTCGGCTTTAGCTTTGAAACTTACATTGCCCAGTGGTATTTCTGCCCAGGAGATCAACCTGTGGATGCGTTTTCGTGGTGATAGTTCTTGCTTATCTACAGCTGAGAAATGAGAATACAGAGTAATACCAGATAAAAAGAGCAGTATTTAATCATATAACAGTAATGATAGGCACAAGACTTGATATCGGAATTAAACTGATAAAGTCTTAAGTAGTTTTAATGTTTCTCATTTTTTTACCGAGAGTATTAGTGTTGGTAAATGAAAAAAAAACAGAAACAACGAAATTTAGGAATATCTTGGTCTGTTATATTTTTCGCCTGCCTACTATATATTCACTTTGTGCCGTTATTTTATCGAAATCTGTGTAGCCATTTCCGCCAATAGACAGACCGCCATTGCAGGTCATCAACAATTATCTTGACCATAGTACCTTTTTCATCTTTGCTCAGAAAGTAAAATGCAGGAAGGGTAAGACTAGGTTAATCACAATGGATGACTCAAAGGAATCTTTAATTTCGGACAGCAAGCCAGCTCAATAAATGGCTGGCAAGCTTTACCTTGAACAACCTAATAAACCTTTAAGTATTTACAATATTAGATATCTGCCCTATAATAACCTGCTCGTACTGTTTATATTTTGCTTAATAATCCTCGCAACCATTACATCTGGTTAATTTTCACCCTAAAAAACATGCATTACAAAAATACTAAAAACAGTATTTTATACGTGTGTGGTTAGAGTTTGACTTTTCAGAGAACAAGACAAAAAATGCAAACTCGGTTGTTCGAGAACGATTATTTTTATATTGCATATGATTCTTTCCATGTAATATATATTTTGACTAATAAACATCCACTCCAATATAATATCATTTTATAATGTCGTGTTGAAAAATATCCTCCCTTATTATTTATTTCCTCTTCAGTGTTTACCTCAAAAGCAAAAATTTCCGTAGCATCATTTGGAGCGTAATAGAACCATGAAGGGACTTCGTGTACGTGTATTTCCTTTAGAACCTCCCAACCCGCGCTGAATCAGAAATTGTGTGGTATTCCATTCAGGATGATTTATCTGGTTTCCTTCCTATGTCCTCACACACCCCGAAATATCTGTCCTTCGGCTCATATTGATCTTTTCCGCGAGTTTTCATGACAAACATGTTCAGCGATTTGAATCTTTCCTTCCAGTCCAGTGCGCTAGTTTTGTCCAGTTCACGTAAAATGGTGGAAGCCCATTAAAAAGGGCTTGAATAAAGCAACGCGAAATCCCCGATTAAATAATTAATGATGTAAGCTTATCCACGAACTTCTTATAGTTCAGTCAGCGTGGTTTCTGCGATCGTAATTTGTTAGTAGTGACACAGCAACTCGATGTAATCTCTTCTAGTATTTTTCAAAAACTATCAACAAATTCAAAATGGCTTGACGTGGGAGACCTGACCCCGGAGCAGCGGAATACCTCACCCACCACCTCTTAAAGGCAAAGCGCCGAGCACTGAAAGCAGTTGTATGTATGTACCTTCATTGCGTTTGTGCGCTCTAATTGAATGAATAAATAAATGAACAAGTAGAGTAGATGAATAAAACAAATTAGCTTTGTTGAACCTCGTTCACTAAGGAAGGGTCCGATCGAACAATCCTTTATTTTTAGGGTGTTCCAGATACATCCAGTTTACGATGTGGGCTTCTTGATATTTTGAATAGTGGTTTAAACTGTATTTTAAGAACAACAAATTTCATGTTGTACAAGTGAACAGATACAATTTTGTATGATAATAATCCATGAATTGACTTGAATGCCCAGGCATTGTTGATAAAAACGTCATATAAGCTCGCTGTTAACATTATTGGAAGGAAAATGACATCAATGCCCAACAGGCAGCGCTAAATGATGATATGGTGGAATGTAAGGCTTATGTTATACACAGTGCAGTTTTTTTTACCACTCACAGATATACTGGTGTGTGAGTCTATTCAGAGTCAATTTTACTATTCAAGCCCGAATGAAACTCTGACTCGTTAATTTATTGAAAATATCAGTCATTTTGGATAGTAAGCATGATTAGAACAAATAATTTTAAGGAATATAACAACCGTATTGTAGAGATTACATAACTAAGGATTTTTCCAACAACTCCAGGTTCCATGTTTTAATAATATTTCTTTGGCCTAGTTGTTCATTTCAGATTTTTCTTGATACTATGAATAACGTTTTTAACCGCTCTTCATCATATTAATATTGCCCTTCCCTTTCTGTGAATGCGAATGAAAACAAAATTTCCGACCTGCAGTGGGCATCTCAATCTCCGCCTATTAACATCATTTCCAACTTGGAGCCATTGCCCATAAGCACGTATAACATCTGACGGAACAGCGCCACAAGATTGAAAATATCAAAGCGATTTGTTTAGGATGATGTTCTTTCTTAATTTACGTAAGCTTAGCCACTCTTCTAGTACATTTTAGTTTTCATAAGGTTTGATTTTGCTCCGTAGGAACTGGACCACAATATGCAAATTGCCCATTGATTTATGTGGTTACCACAATACAGAAGAACTGAGCTCCGTCAGGTCGAGATGAATAAATTATAAAGCTCAGTGTTCGATATTACCGATATATCGATTACAAATAATTCATGCACGAACTTTTGGAGTAGATGAAGTCTCATTGAATATTCCAGAAAATCACGAAGGAGGATTTGAAATTAACGAAATATTTTAAAGCAGGAGAGTCGAGTGAAAAAATTTATTTCAAATAAAAGTTAGCCATGTTAAGATGACGTCTGTGTCGCAAGCTCTTCAAAATCTCAGCAAAGATAACGAAAATAATCATTTCCAGGGTTTTGCTCGAAAACAGTTGGCGATACATAAAATATTAACTGATGTTAAAATGTGTTAGAAATGTTTATACCGTATGTCCTAATAGTTTTGGCACAAAGTTCATTGGCTTCAATTTTAACAAACGCAAAATAATATCAAGTTGCCATTGGAAACAAAAGTTTGTTTACCTACTTTACTGTCAGTTGACATTTATTTATTTCCGGTTTAACATGTCGAATAGACTAGAAATAAGAAAAAGTATCTACAAGTTGATTGGGCGGGTACCCAAAGCTGAAATCTGTCGAATATTGCATAATGAAAACATTTCGCGCAGAAACATTTATCGAACAATATTGGCGTGCTAGCAGGGAATAAAATGTCTGACTGGATCTTCCAAAAAGTGGAAGACCACGTGCGTTTACTGTACAGATGTCAGAGAGATTGGTGAGAAGTGTAAAAAATCAGATTGGTATCGAGACGAGACTGGCTCGTCAATCCAGATCTTGAGTTCGATATCGTTGGAATTGATGAGGATTGGTCTAAAATATTGAAAGAGACTTAAGTGCCCCAAATACTCTCAAGCGCAACCCCTTCGTATACCGATATGCTGTCGTTAACTGAGGCGTGTACACTTTGTCAATGGAAAAATCATTATTTTAGATGACAAAAAGTATTTAATGACCATTTTATGTTTTGTCCGGACCTAGCATCATGCCATTACTCAAGAGATACCCAAAACTGGCTTCGACAACACAACATACCTTTTGTTCAAAAAAACTATAATCCTCCAAACTTGTCGCAGGCTCGCCCAATAGAGGATTTTTGGGCTTTACTGTCTAGGAAGGCTTATCGTGGAGGCTTGAAAAACTAAAATGAAGGACAATTAAGACGACGAATCTACAAGAAGCTGAGATAAATTGATCTGAATTCCGTCCAGGATCTCCTAAGAGACATTCGAAGAAAGTTACGACTGGTAGAGCAGAATAGGCTACTCCTCATAATTCGACAGTATAGTTTAGTTCAGCATTGAGTTGTAATTTATGATGACTAGGTAGTGTTTAAGTAATATTCTTCATTAAAAAAAATCCGACAAATACTTTGTGCCAAAGCTTTTAGGAGATAATTAGAATTAATAGGTTTTTTTTACGTCAAGCTTTTTAGTAATAAAAGACGAAGAGAAAAGGGATTAACAGTTACCTGGCTCCACCATATTAGCAACTCGTATTTACATTACACGTAGTTGCACACAGTGTGACACTATTTCAGCAGGAACACCCACATACTGCGATAAAATGAATTCGGTCACCAAACTTTGCCTTTTCTGCATAATCCGATAAAACGTTATCATACCATGCTCCTTTTGCATTAACAACAGTGCTTGTACAATTGAAATTATAATGGTACTAGTGAAAATTACATTTTATAGGACTAAATCAAGGTATAAAGGTAGCGAGTCATAAAAATTGTTTGAGTACAATAGATAAATATTCGCAGCCTGGGACATTTTATTAAAAACTTGAGAAACGAACCTTCACGTCTCATAGATCTAACAGCATCTACGAAAATGCCATTAACCAGACTGGCAGTTATGTAGGCAAATATATCAATGTTTAAGCTTTGGAGTAGGGGATCAACTGTTAAAAATAAATGCTGAACGTAATTTTAAAAGAAAGTATAATTGTACTCTTAGAATTACTCTTGTATCATGAGCAATTTCAGAACCGAGACAATGTATATCAGTATTGATATACAGTGCTTTTCTTTATTGTTGAAACAGAATAAGTATCACCCATATAAAATTCAAATGGTACTGACTAACTGAAGATGACCCTGATCGAAGAACAGAATTCTGCGAGACTATGACGGAAACCATTGCACAGCATCCTGCCTATATCCAAAATATTTGTTTTAGTGAATGTACATTTTTTCTCAACGGTAAGGTGCATAGACAAAATTGTCGTTATTGGAGTGACACCAATCCTCACGTCTTCCGGGAGACTCATACCCAATATCCACAAAAAATTTACGTTTGGGCTGGGAGGTTGGGGAATCATATTGTGGGGCCTCTATTCATCGAACAAACTTTAACCGGGTAACTGTATCTGGATATGCTAGAAAATACTATTGACCCTCTATAACCGAAATCGTCGAAGCGAATCCAAATGAATTCAAGACTGATATTGTATTCCAGCAAGATGGTGCTCCACCACACTGCTACAGACAAGTTAGGAATTATTTAGATAACAATTTCCTCGGTCGTTGGATTGGCTGTCGAGGTCCTGTGGAATGGCCAGCTCGCTCGCCAGATTTGACACCTTTAGACTTTTTTATGGGGCTATTTGAAGCAAAAGGTGCACGAAACTGAACCTGCTTCAATATTGGATATACGGCTGATAATAACAAATATTTGTAGAAATATCGATGTTTACGGACCGGCTGTTATTGTATCAAGAAGTTCAAGGCAACCATTTCCAGCATCTTCTCAACTGAACTCAACGTATTTATTCAAATTATTAAGTCAAATATCAATGTATTCAGGTAATTATTAAATGTACCACCATTTTGTAGTAGGTAAAGGTATTAACTTTATATTCTAGGGTTATAAAGTACTCGTCAGGAACTTCAAAATGATGTGCCACTAGACCCCCGTTTTCATATGTTTTTTTCCTAGGTGGCGCCTAGCGGCCATCTTGACATTTTCATCTGTCAATTTTACTCTAAAATATGGTCTACACGCATCAATTTCATCACCTCAAGTTTTAATTTTTTGAATTGATCCGTTCAGAAACACAAAGAGGAAGGGGCATTAAAGAAAAGCACTGTATGTTATATCATAAAGATATTTAACTACGTTTCAGTAGTATCTTTTTCAACTACTTACCAGTACTAGGTAGGTGTTTACATGTTCTTTCCACTCACAAGAAGTAAAATATTCTAAGCATTTTAATCCTAAACTATGCCAGAAAATTCTTATACGCGTGGATTCTTTGTGACTCTCAAGTAAGATACTCGTATATGCTCGTACACGTACTTTAGATGAAGCAACAATATTCTTATGCCTTGCCGTACGTGACCTACATAGATAGTAGGGCTCGTACACAGTTTTGTTGTCGAGTGTTCTACTGTGCTGTGCGAAAAATAGCCATCATCGACCAAATTTTAAGATACTTTGAAATAAAATAAGGCAGTTGATTTTTCATTGTCAAAAACGAATAATTGAAAATAGTCTAAGCTCACAAAGTGCGAGGTTCTTACTAATGAAGATGAATACAATTTTTCAAGCATCCTAATATTTCAAAGGGGCAGTTCTATCTATGTATTCATTTATGTACCTTTAGCATTGCTAATCAATAACGCATGTTCTTCTAGTTTACTAAACAACTCTGAAAATGAAACATACTTATCATAGTAGATGCTCGCTTTGAGCAGAGGCAATCCGTTTCAAGACAAGAAAGGTAAACCATAACATGGATGTTACGTGACAAGCATATAGAACCTCTGGTTGGATAAATACTTTCACAGATATCGTCAATCGATTAGCTGATTATTATCTGCCTCTCAATAAATTAACCCTTACTGTTAAATCGTCAATCAGCTGTAGCAGGCGTTTCGGGAAGACTTTTTTCCGCTATTTATGCGTATTCAATGATGCTCTGGAGCCTCATATACAGGTAAGGAAATTTTGAAACTGAAAATTCTTAAGCCGGAACGAGTACACCGATATCATATTCGTTTTCAGCACCCCAAGTTACTTAAGTGTGCACTCATCAGCTTGCAACAACAGGAAACAGATATAGCGTCAAGTAGGTTAACTCTGCAGTTTGCACGCCAGTCTGGATAAATGGATTTTGAATATGCAGCATGCTTAAAATCTAAGTCAAACTTAGCACGTTCCGGTGCCTTCGTTATCCGACGGCTATGAAAATCGTTGTGTCTTGTCATAAGACCATAGATAGGCTAATATCATTAAAAATAGTATTGCCGATGTAAAAGGGAAAACGGACATTAAATATGCAATATATGGATAATAACTACGTTCTGGTATATTTTTCCATAACCACATTTTTACACACAATTATTAATTTTTCATTTTATTGCATTATCACAAAATAGCAGTCCAGTAGGAAAAGAATGTCTATGGACCAATTGTATGGACCTCTTTAATGTACTTGATCCGCTTATTTTCTCTGTTATACATGTTCGTAACTAACAGACAGCAAATCATGGACAGGTGTTTTGTGCTTAATTGTCAACTTATCAGCATGATCTAGGCCGGCATCAATCTTCTTTTCAGGATATAAGGTCTTATTTCGATAGAGTTTAACTTGTGATGAACCCTTTATGAACTGATGATACTGTGGCGTGGAAAGTGCAGGGTCATCCTAATCGACACCATTTTATATTTGCTAGGCAATATCCAGTTACTCAGATGTAGTCAGATTTAAGAGATCATTGAAATATTATGATGATAGATACAAAAATACCCTCTATTAATTATCCGTATCCATAATTTATGCCTTCCTTCTTTTATTTTTATGACTTCCAATTATTATCTTGAAGTCGATGTTTGAGGGATGTTAAATATATTTTGGTAAGAGTTTACATTCAAGAGAAGCACAAAGTGGACCTACTACAATCTGCAGTTGACAGCTGCACATTATCTTTTTTGCCACGTCAAGCTATATCATTTCCGAAAATGTATTACTTGAGCAAATGTGTACTTAAAAGTGGACATGAATATCTAACATAGCTTTTTCAGTTATATTTAGTCTACCATGCAGCTAAAGTCGTCGATTTTTGAGAGTAAATCAAATTGGTCTTTATAACCTCCCATTTTATGGAAGGTAGAAACAGCACATCCTGCAGTTACTTTGAAAAATTCAGGTCTGTACGAGTTTCAGTTTCCTTACGAAGTGACACACTAGACCAGTCTGAAGGAGGGCAGTGTTATGAACCAATGAATTCGGGCCAGTGGCGGCTATAGTAAAGCCCATACTATCGTTTCAAGAAAGTTTGCATTCAAAAGGGACAAAAAGTGGACCTTGGATATACTACAATCCACAATTGACAGCTGCAATGATCTTTCTTGCCACACCAAGCTGTAAGCCTCATTGTCTTTCCGAAAATGTATTACTGGAGGAAATTATATACTCAAAAGTGCACATGATTATCTAACATAGCTTTTTCAATTTTATTTAGGCTATTATAAAGCTAAAATCGTTGATTTTCGAGTGTAAACCAATTTTTTGTATCATTCTTTATAACGTTCTATTCTATGGAAGGTAACCACAGAATATCGTACAGTTACTTTGAAAAATTCAAGTCTGAACGAAATCCAGTTCCCTTGTGATTTTAAACCTTTGTAGTGATACACTAGAAAGGTTTGAAGGGCAGTGTTATAAACAAATGAATTCAGACCAGTGGCGACTAGAGTAAGGATTATACTCACACTATCGATTCAAGAAATAGTATAGTCCTTTCTCACCACCGCACTCTGCAAAAACAACACTTTTGACACGAATTTAACGTAAAATTCAGTCAGTTGTTTGGGAAAGTGTAAATCGGAGTGTGGCGGCCACCTCTCCCTTGCTCTGACTGAAATCGATCAGCTGGGGTACAGTCGGGGTGAAAACGCGGGGAGCTTTCCTGAAAATCTTCTCGCCCAATCGATAATGTATTTATATCTCTAGCTGGCTGCTGATAACGGAAATCGGTCGTGTTATCAAACGGAATTATGGGCAATGAAGTCTGGTTGGGGGTTGAATGATAATGAGAAAGGTTTATCTTTTTTTCATGTGCCCATCTGTACAATTTCACTGAAGCTGCACGAAGTAGAATGGCAGGGACTAGAAAAACAAAAATATTTATGGTGAAGCAGCTGTGAAGTCTGAACATGAATAGTGGACTGGACTCCTTCCCTAAGACGGACACCTGTTCTTATATTCCATTACTGACAAGTGTAAATTGTAGCTTATGTACTACCACATTGAAAGTATCTTGCTCGACCACCGCAATGTGGTTCGCTAGGAGAAAAAATTTTTCAACATCCTTGTAATTTCATTATTATTATTAGATATTTGTAAGCAAGGCTTTAAACCTATATATTTTCTTGAACTATTGATCCAAGTGCTCATAAAATCGGTTCATTTAGTGTTTGGTTGAAATGTTACTGGATAAATATGCTTTTTTGTTTTTAGAACGCAATCCTAACCCCTTTTGTAATGGTTTCACTGTCCATGAAATACGAATATTCCGCCTGTCTGTAAGCATATCTATACTCATCCACATCTATAGTAAAAACTTTCGACCTTGAAACTCTTTATCTGCAAATATTTCGGGTTAGGATTGTTTTTATTTATTTTGAACCAACATACAATAATACGTATTTATTGTTTCTGGCTTCCAATAACATGAATCAGAAAGAGCACAATGTGCTATAAATATGTGTGTGTCAAACTAGGAAAAATAGTTAATTTGACATATTATGTAGTTATATTGCTCTATTTGCTTTTATTATACAAATGAGGAGCAGACTCTAGATGCATTTTGTCCATTTTTTGTAATTTTGCCAAATAAAGAAAAACTACTAAGTGTTTGGAAATAAATTAACCAATAAATTCATATACCCAAAAAATGGATGAGAAATGGTGCATATAATATACCTTCATGCGAAAAATCTAGTATTGATTATATCCTAAGAAACTTAAAACCTGAGACAAATGCATTTTGGTTATCTGCAAAAAGCGGCATGACTAGCTTTATAGTAAAGATGTAAACAATTTACGTACATTTATGAAACTGATATCTTGTTTTGGAAATACATGTCAGCTTCTTCGGGAACATCATTATCATGAGTTTCGTCTTAGCTAACTCGATTGTCGCTCACGATTATCAGAAAGGATAGGCTGCAACCATGTTAACTCAGGATTCTTGACTCAATTTGCTCCTGGCAGCTCTACCAGCAGTTTCGAGAGGCTCTGTGGTTTTTTTTTGTTTCAATGTCACTTTGAAGCGTTACGACAGATTACTGTACAATCTAAAGATTCTTTGCTCGTTTCAAATTATTTGGAGGGATCGTCAGTTCTGTAAAACAACTCAGTCCTAAGCAAAATATCGCTGTTGTTTTGTGATCTCTTAATAATAATTCGTTTGGCTGCACTGTGCCCTTAAATTTTCTTGAAAGAACTTAACCCAGTTTGTATATCGTAAGCAACCCAATCTTTACCAAGTTGTTTAACGTCTGTCTCCCTTCTTGGAGTAAATATAATATTGTAAAGGTATTTTTATTGTACTGTAACTTTTCTATTTGTCCGAAAACACAATCTAATGGCAAAATTAGTCAGTCCGCAGTCTGTTAGTTTGTCTACCGCTAATGGACATGCAGCACATAGAAAGTCCAAGGAACTTATTATTTAATTTGCACGGGACAACATGCATTCAGACCATCTTCTGTGGCATAACATTGAAGAGGTATATATCTAGTTTGCGATACATCCTTGGTTCAGAATGTTGAAAAGTTGACAGATTGCATATTGAGAGTATGCTCCTAAAATATTCGTTCTGGCTTGCTGTTTTCAAAGAGATTGTGCATCGAATGAAATTTGCAAATATATTTACCCGTCCATAATTTTATTCAAATTGTGGTAAAAAAGAATTTACCGGATCTTTCTATATGAAAGGTCCACTGCAATAACGGTGAATGTCCATTCTTTTTTGTTTTGAGATAATTGGGTTTCAAGTTTATAAGCGGTAAAAAATAACGTAGACCACAAGACAAGAATATAGTTTTTATTTGACTTAAAGAAGACGTATTACAGTATTACTTCTTTGAAAAATAATCACCCTTCAGGTATTATAGACTGAATAAAAATTATATAATCTGAATTAAGTTTTAAAAATTATGACTCTAATGATCAATGTCCACACTGCATCCACAGTCAATAACGATAGTTGTCCAAATAACTTGTTTAATCAACTGCTGAATCCTTAATATTTGCAGCATGAGGAAGTCCATCATAATAGCGTTTCGCTTCAGGCCCACAAAACTTTTTCAGGAACTGCAGGTTGCTATATTTTTTTGTGGATATAGGCAGCCTGTCCTTATAAGCTAAACCAGGTAACTTAAACTCTCCCTCGTTAATGCCTTCCTTCATAGATCGAAAAGAAGCTGGTGTATTAACCACACTTGATTCCCATTCTCGTACAGGTCTTATGGGAAAAGGACAAGTTTTTTTGTAAAACGGTTTCAGAAATGCAGTCCAGCCCTTGAATGCATCTTGTGAACATTCGATGACATTAAAAGGTTTCGGTATCTGTCGAGCTCCACGTACGTGTTCGGCCCATTCTTCAGGGAGTTCAATCCTAGCCTTTTGGTTTAAGAAGGCCATGTTTCGGTCGCATTTCATGTATGAGTGGCCTCTTATCGGGAATATAACTGTGGCAGATTCTAAGCGATGACAACAGTGTAGTGCAACATTCTAAAGATGGTGTAATTTTTGTTTTGCCCGCCACATGAGTCACAGAAAATTATAAGATTCTTGCCCTGTGCATCCATTTCATAACATATGTAACTCTGCTAGCAAAGCAACCGCACGCGTTTATGTTTGCTCTTCGTATTTGGTCAAATAGCTCGAGTAAGACTAGAAGTAAAAATTTCAAGTAAAAACTAAATCACTCGTTATAACATCACACACCCTGTTCTTGAATACGCAACCGATGCAACACCACGATCTGTAATTATGAGTGATCCAGTTTGCAGTTATTGTGACTCCTCTATCAGTGCTAGAACAAAAAGTGTTAAATGTGAAGGTTTTTGTGGAAAATTTTTTCATGCCGCTTGCCAGGGCTTATCAGCTGATGTAGTAAAAACCATTGAAAAGAGAAACGGTTTGTCGTGGAAATGTAATCCGTGCCAATCGTATACCAGCGAAGTGCACGAGATTCTAGATGCTAGACTATCCAGCTTGGTAAACGAAATTCATCAGCTATTTTCTAGTGTTCGTTCAGAAATTCTGGAGATTGCCGTGAAAAAAATGAGTACTGTTGAGTTACCTGAGATCAA